GACGGACTGGCAGAGCGATGCTACAAACCATTAGCTTAAGTTACAACCTACGGAGACAAGGTCTTTACCCTTGAGCCCCTCTCTTCTGGTGAAAAGGGGGACGGAGAAGCCTGAGCTGGATCATTACTAGGCACTCGTTGTTTGGGCAGAAAAGCACGCGCGCTTTCTCTGGCCACCTCGTTGTACTCTCTTTCGATCTCAGCCAGCTTCTGGCGCAAATCGGGGTCTATCTCGGTTTCAGACTGTAGCTGTTCCACCTCTCGTAATCGCTCGGCAAGTTCTCGTTGCTGTTGTACCAAAGCGGTACCCAGTTTGCCAGCCTCCTCCATTCTTCGCTCTGTATCTTGAAGGTGGGCCTTGAGAGCTCGTTTGACCTGCTCGGCGGAGGCGCCGGGGCCGAGCGAGAGGAGTTGAGAGTCGAAAGTGGAATGTCGCTGGTTGTTTTGCCCCGGTGGGCTCAGAAAGGGATCGTACAGGTCACTGGCGGTCACGGCCGCGACCTGGTCGTCGGGTGCCAATGAGTTGGCCATTCTTCTCGAAGCCATCGGAAAGGCAGGCCTCTACTACTTCTTGATGGGATGCGGTTTCCCAACCGCAAGGGCGGTTCGAGTTTCGTTTTGTATCGTATCCGAGATGCACTGGATGCGCAATCTATCCTAGGGGGGATCGGGAGCCCAGTGCTCGTATCGATATGATTCGGAGTATGAAAGGCAGACCCGGCTGCCTGCGAATGCTATTAAAGAACGGTCGGTTCTGATTGTAAAGGAAACAAGGAGTAAAAAGACAACGGTAAAGAGTGACGGTACCGAAGAATGAACGACAATAAGGAGTGACAAAAAAGGTGATTAGGAAATATCGAAAAGCAGTAAGTCGGAAGGCAAGCGCAAACAAACGTTATGGCGAGCCGGCAAGGTGTTGAAGAGGTCGGAGCAAAAAAGTTTTGTTTTGGATGTCCAGGTGGTCGGTCTCGGTCGGTGGGGAATTACGCGACAGGTGGAAGCAGGGACCTCGAAACGTCCTGGGGAGGGAGGGATGTGGTTGTGTCGGATGTTGAGGTTGTCGACTTTGATACAGCAGCATGAATGCCCGTTCGATGGATCCCAGCCGAAAATTGGATGTTGGTCGGTTGGTAACCTGGAGAGCTGACTTTGCCCAACTGCGTCAACAATGGTGTCCGCAAATAGGAGATCTCAGCCGGTCGCACGCCGCGCTTTGCTTGGGATTGGGAGAGATATGAAGGAGGGGGACGAAGTGGAAGCGAGCAATGGATGATTGATTTTGGACACGCCGAGGCTAGCAAATCACACATCGATCCACGCCTGCACGGCGACTTTTAGCCCCCCAGAGACCAGCCAAACAGCCAGCGCCGAACGGAGACCAGCAGGCAAATGGAGGCAAGAAGACCGAGATTCCACTTGGATGACACTTGATGGAGAGCTGACAGCCAGGTGCAGGAGACCTGTGCACAGCAACTGCGCAATACGTAGCGTCTTGTCTCTGATAGACAGCTCTAACAGCCACCTAAGCACATGTGCGCACGCCCACTCACCCCAGTGCAATGAGTGCAGAGGGAAGCGAAGGGAGTGTGGACTGTGGAGGGATTGGAGAGTGGTGATCGACTGGGCTTGTTGAAGTGCTGCGATTGCGCACCTTTGCAGTGTATATCTTGCGCTTGCGCTGTATCCGTCTTGTCTCTTCGCCACCCACACGCGCGCGCTGTTTTCCTCCTTCACGATTATCTCTTTTCTTTTTTTTTTTTGCGCCCACGTAGGCACAACACGGTATAATGGCCGGAGATTGGCCTGGGTCTGGCGGAGAGAGTCGGTCGGAGGCGCGGTCTCGATTACGGTCGGGCGAGTTGGAGTTTGCAGCCACCCACACGGTCGGCAGCCGGACGGTTTAATTAGGTAAGATGGGGAGAAGCCCCTTGAGATGGAAGAATCCCGTCGGAGCGGAGACGGAGGAGATAGGAGATGGAGAGACAATGAAAAAGGAACGAAAAGAGGGAAATTGGACCCAGCAGCGCGCAAGACTGTCCGACTTGCTGGCTGTCACAGAGGCCCTCACTGGTGGTCGTGACTCGAATGCGAAGGACGGGACGAACTTCCAGTTCAACAGTTGGTGCAAATCGACAAAAATGGAGGGGGGCACGGGAAGAGAGGACAACCCGCTGCCGTGGAGGTGGACGAGTGCAGCGCCCGCTGTGCCTGACTGCCAGTCGGGGCGTGCCTGCGTGCCTGCGTGCCTGGACCCGATCGCTGGCGCTGTGCCTGGCGGCTTCCACTTCCACTGGGCTTCCAGTCCACTTCCCTTTCCAATCCTCTCTGGTCAGGTTGGATCGCGCGACTTGGCGCATTCCCAGCAGATCCACTCGCCCAATAAATGTACAGTGCCAGCTACAGTTTGTTTACATGTCTCCTTGAGCTTGGCATTTTGGCTTGTCTAAATCGAAGTGAGAGCCAGGGAGCCAGGGAGGTACTCTCTCGTCACCACTGCAGGTGCCACTGAGTGCTGAGGTAGTGGTACCGACCCCGTAGACTGTGATTCAATGTGAGTCCAAATGGAAGACAAAAGGGCAGTTTGTCTGAGGCCAACGGACCGGCAACTCATGCCAATTCACACAAACTCCACGATCTCCACCCCCCGACACGACATTGGCTCATATAATGTACACTACTGGTCAGCAGCGGGCATAGAAGGCCAGGAAGGGTGCTAGAGCGGCGAGGAATGAGAGGGGGGAGGACCACTAAGCGGTCGATGAGCCGGAAATGATGGAAATGAGGGACGACCACAGCAGTCCCTATATACAATAGTGGGAGTCGGAAATACAGCACTACAGCATCGGAAACACCACAGGGGCATGAATTGAGCTTGTTCTACTGCTGGACTGTGGACGCTACTGCACCGTCAGCTCTCTCCGGGTTTTGGGGTTTCCATCCCGGCGTCAAATGACTTGTCGCCGTCGTCTCGCACGAAGCTACCGCGGGCAATCCTCCGTGCTTGCTAACCCCCTTGGGGAACTGAGCTGACACTTCTCGCCGTTTCGGACCGTTGCCGTAGCTGCGTCTCCCTTGCTAAGGCGCGAATGCAGGAGAACGAGCCAAAGCGCTGAAAGCCCCAGGTGATGTGCGCGGTGCAGCTCGCTAATCGTTTCCCTACAAAATATTGTTAACTCGTCGATGTTCCTGTCCCACGATTCACCGCCTCATGTTCCGTGGGGTTTATTGCGACCTTCCACCACCTCAGTGATCCAATCTGCCAGATCATCTCATCAACGAGGACTCAATGGGATCTGTGTCAAGACCGCACGACACACGTGTGACGTAACGTCACCGAACACTTGAAAGAGGGGAATGTACTTGATTTGGACTTTATTGTGACTTGACCAAAAGGCAGGCACTTCGCCCCGCTCGTCCAGCAAACCAACATAAATAAGCCCACGGCATCACCAACGCGGATTGTCCAGACAAAAAAGAGGGCGCGGAAAATCATATGAGCTAGGAGTTGGCTTAAAGAATCACCAAGCTACCAACAACCCGTCCCATTCGTTTCTCCTCTTCTTTCTTGTCTCTCTTGATTCCCAACGTTCGCTTGTCTTAAAAAGACGGGATAGGCATCACCAACGCTCAACATTACAACTCAAAGGCCGCGGCAGCGAAGGAAGTCTGCTGACCCGGCAACCCCTATTTAGCTACATCCACTCGTTAACCTGACTAGGATCCACCATCGCCACCAGCTGCCCGTGAACTTGTGAAGGACAGAGTTAGCATTCCCTTCCAAAACGGCCCCCTGTGTCCAAAAAGTAGAGGTATCCACAGCCGTTTGATGAGAGAGATGGTTTAATTTTCCCCTGTGAGCCCTGTTACGCAGCATCATCTCCATCTCGCCAACACTACCGAGCCGGAAGCATCCGAGATGGATGCCAAATGGTGGTGGTGTTTTTGTACCTGCATGAGATGCTCAGGTACAACCGCCGGGCCGCCATCCGTGCAGTGATGGTTTCCCTGGGCAACTGCCAGCAACAAGCCAGGATCCTGTCTTTATGTATCCCTGTGTTCCATGTGCCGGATGCGTGTGTTTTTGTGGTAAGGCTCCCCTTTCTACACTATGGATGCTTCATCAATTGTTGGTTGGACTTCCTTCCAATGAGTATCACAAAGAAGCAGATTGTAAGGTTGACGGTGACGAGCTGAGAGATATTGCCAAACTGCCTCCATACCGCTCCATCTACTACACCTTACCCTACCAACTATGGCTTCGGGACAAAGCTGCTGTTGGCAACCTATGTAATGTACAGTACACACACAACACCTCGGCAGAATCGTCATTGAATCCACAACAGCATCCGCGGATTTTCCAGATTTCCAGATCCATCAAGCCTGGAAGATCGCGGTCAGGGGATCCATGTGCGGCAATACTATGTGCCAAGCCTTTGTGTAATTAGTCTCTCAAAATGATGAACATCATGGATGGCGGTCGAACAAGTTGTAAATGAAGGTTTACTGGTAACTGGAGATGGCATCCTTTAATATTGGCAACAGTAACGATGAATGATGACCAGTGTGATCAGTCAAACAACAGAGTAGACGAGAAAGACCCCAAACGGCCTTTTAGACTACTTGTAGTGGAATACTAGTGACCAGGAAATACTTCCCATGAAGCAAAACGTCTTCGAATTACACAAAGAATAGAAACTAAAGCAATGAAAATAAGAAAACTGAGCAGAAGTGTTTTGTTTCGCCGCAGTTCTTTGGTCGAGTATATGTACGTTGGTTACTCACCGTCGACCAGGATTGGAAATGTCTATAAGATCATGTAGTCCATACCATGAAAGGTTGGATGATGTACAGAACCGCTATACCACTATTCCACCGGTTCAAACCCATGAGCCAGCAAACCATCAGTAGCTGTCAGAGTAAATGGAATATTCAAGGTGAGGTAAAAATGAGCCAAACAAGTCTGCATAACCCTTCCAGTCCAAGCGACTTCCCTAGGCTCGACTACCAGTCCAGAGATGCCGCCTTCAGGCCCCTAAACCTGTTGTCCAGAATCTCTCGCCTCTCGGACTGCTCCTCACTCACAGCCCTACGCTTACCCTCAACAATGACTTCGCCCTCTGCTTCCTCCTCTTCATATCTCGTTCCAGCATCTTCCTGCACTTCCATCTCACCCTCAGCAATCACCTCACCCGCCTCTTCCTGCTCCCAAACCGCCTCCTCCTCACCATCCTCATCCTCATCCTCATCCTCATCCTCATCCTCGCCTTCACTACCACCACCCTTACCCAGCTCCAAATCCCCAAACAACTTAATCAAAGGCTCCATCACCCTCTTCTCCGCGTTCATCTTCGTCCTCTGCTTCACCCTTGAGTAAAACACCGGACAATCCTTGCTATCGCAGGGGACCTCCTCCGTTGGCGCGAAGCCGCTACAGCTCTGGCACACCTTCATGATCTCCACGTAGCTTTTCTCAGCTCTGCTGACCTTGGTCTGCATGTCAACCAACAAAGTGGGCGGATCCGAAGCACACCGTCGACAGAGCGGCAGGCCTCGGTCCGGTTCGGCATCTTCTTCGTTGTCAAGCATGATGCCCAGCTCGCGGGCGAGCCCGATACCGAGCGGCCGCTTGATCTTGACGCCGCAGGCGGTACAGATGGTGGTGGCAAGGAAGGCTTCGAGGGTTTTGCGCGCTTGGGCTTGGGCGAATGCGCCGTCGGGGGGGAGGGGTTCGCCGTCTTCTCCCAAGACTTCCTCGGCCTCTAGTGCTGCTGCTGCCGCTGCTGCCGCCGCTGCTGCTGCGCTGCCGGCACCCCTTTTGCTTGGTGACGCCCCTAGCAATCCCATCAATGGTCCTTTGGGAGCGGCGGCAGCGGCAGCGTCATCATCTTCCACCACCTTCCTCAAAACCTGAACCTTGGGCATCTCCTCATACCAAGTCCTCACGTTGGCGCCGACCAAGTTGAAGATCCTTTCCAGCGGCGGAATGATGTTCTTGTTGATGTAGTAATCCGCATCCAGCGTAGCATGCGAGTTATTCAGCAGCTCCTCCGGTTCCACGCAGCGATCCACCAGTCGCATCCCGGGTGCGCCGGCCATCACCACGTACGGCACTCTTTCGCCGTACTGCGGCTCCGCGCGCGCGTCCTCCCGCATCTTCTTGGTGGCGATCAGCGCTCCTGCCGGGGCCGGCCCCCCGCGGCCGCTGGTGCTGTACGTGCCCAGCTTGACCTCGCGCGCAAAGCAAAAATCCTGCACGGAGACGGCGCCGCGCATAATCTTGTGGCACTGCTCCTGAAAGTAGGCTTTGACCTGACTGAGGTCGGCGGTCTCGAAGAGAATCTTGAGCGCCTTCTCCTCGATCCGCTGCTCGGCGGGGGTGCCGTCGCGGCGGACCGTCTCGATACCCTTGGCGTCGAAGTCGGGCACCGTCTGATCCCGCGACTCGTACTTGTAGCCGACGTAGCGCTTCTTGGCTATGAGCACGCACGGGTGGTAGACCTTTTCGAACTTGAGCTTGACGGGGCGCGGGTTCATCTTGGTGACGGCGTCGGCGATCTCTTGCCCGATGTCAAAGGCCTGGTCGCGCGTGCGGCCCTTGAGATAGACGAAGAGACTGTCGGTGTCACCGTAGACAACCTCGGCGTCCCACTTCTGGACGCTGTGGATAAAGGCTATGGCGCGTTCAAGGGTTTCGCGGCCGGTTTGGACGATGCTGTCGGCAATTTCAGAGCAGGGCATACGACCCGAGAACGAGGCCGAAGTGTAGCCGTACGTGACGTTGGCAAGAAGCTTCAGCGCCAGCTGTCGGTTTTTCAGGAGTTGCTGAAGCGCCTTATCATCCTTGTCTTGCTTCATCCCGGACTTGACCATGATGCGGGTTTCGAGAATCTCGGTAAGCATCTTCGCAAGCAAGGACTTGCGAATATGAGGCTTAGTGTACATCATACCGTTTGGGGAGATGTTGATGTAATCTTTGAGTAGACTGAGAAGTCCCTCTTGCCTCTTGTAATCCATGAAGCCCATTTTGTTGGTGCCTCGCCAGCTGACAATACGCCCAAGGAAGGTCGAATAGCAGTAGTTGTAGGCAATCATGACACTGGGATACAGACTCTGAAAATCGAGAACGAGCAACGGGCTGCTGTAAAAGGCGCTCTGTGGTTCCATCACCAAAGGAAGACATTCCAGAGCATTTTGCGCACCCACTTGCTTCCTACTTGGAGAGATGAGCAGGAAGTTTTCGGGCTTGGCTATCCTGAACATGATGGACTCAACTTTGAACTGCGATCCTCGCGAGAAGACAGAAAAGAAATCAACTCCGAGCAGCCTTGCTTGCTCACTTGTTCTGGCAATGAGCTCATTCTTTTCCAGGATTTCGATATCGAGTCGGGTTCTCGTCAGGTAGTACCGGAGGACTTTGTTCAGATCCTTTGGCAGCCCGCTGAGATACCAATCTGACAATGTTTTCCAGTTGTAATGTGGAATTCGACGGTGCAACAGATGCCACACAACATTCTCCATGGTGTACTGCAGAAGGTTGAGCTCGCCTCGCATGGCTCTCCAGATGTTGATCATGTGCCGTCCGGTTATCCGAATCGAAGATGTCGTGTTGAAGCCCCATCGATCTGCATCCTTGCCGATACGCCCATTTGACTGAGACTTCATGCGTGAGAATTCATCGCAGAGATCGAAGTCGTACTTTATCCTCGCCCGCTCAATAAGATAGCCCCAGGAGGTACCGTGCACCTCATAGCCGGTGAAGATGTCCGGATCATGATTCCGTACAATCTCGACCATCCGGAGCATCACATCGAGTTCCGTTGTTTCTTGCACCACTGGCACTGATGTGTACTTTTGGATTTTGTCTGCTAACAGTCCATCCTCCGAAAAGACAACAATGCCTCGTACTGTGTTGTCCGGCGCCTGAGTTTCACGGAGAACGTTCTCGTCGGACCGCAGACACCAGAAAACACACTGCACTTCGTCTTCTTCAGGATCCGGTACTAGCTTGCCCCTGGTGTTGACATGAACCTCTAGGCTCATAGTGCTCATATACTGTGCCTGATGCTGTACACTCGGGGATTTTTTCTTTTCGGAATATCTGAAGCCATGCTTGTTCTTCGGCGTCGCGCCTGCTACTTGCGAGCGGGCGGTTCTGATCCTTAAAGACTTGAAACGAGGTCGGGATGTACTGCGAGCCTTTTCCTTATCTGCCCACCATTTACTGACTTCTTTGAAAGAGGGAGGAGGCTCTGCTATTTCCCAGCTCCGCATGGCGCATTCCTCTTGTTGTGCCTCGTATACAGCCTCCAGCATCGGCCAGTCGGCACCGGAGGCTGGTTTCCCGCCAAATGTCGCCGGCGATGTTCCAGTCGGGTCGAAATCGGGGAGCCAAGGGACAGAGCTGCCGTCAAGTCGGTATTCCCTGCCTGCATACTCTCTCGGCTTTGGAGGAACATCCTCGTCTTTGCTGTAATATGCACCCTGATAGATGACATCAGGTAGGCCATGTACCTGCATGGTATGACGGACCTCGGTCAGGGACGGAGGTTTACTCTCCAGGACAAACATTTTGTTTGAGCCATTCAACAAGAGTACCGGAGGTGCAGCCGCAGGGGCCGGTACAAGTGGATTGGATACTGATTTCAGGTTGGGATCAGTCTGACTGGGCTTCGCCTGAGCCGATGACCCCATAATGGTGGGTTGAGGGTCGAAGGCAAGCTGCTTTTTGGTAACTTTCTCTTCATATTTCTGCGAACCACTCTTTTGGCTCAGTCGCGCCCTTGTGCTGGGATCCTGTGGATCTTTCACAACGGGAAAATTGAATGAACGACCCTGGGACGCAGAGCTCTGCTTCAGAGCAGACTTCGTGGGCTGAGATGCCTTAGGCTTTTGTGGCTCGACCTTCGAACCATTCGCCAAGAATTCCTCTCTCGCTTTATCATAAGTACTGAGTTTTAACGGCTGAACTGTCTGAACAGGCTTCATAGATTTTAAGTCTTCTGGAATTTCCGCCTGTACTTCTTGTTGAGTCTGGTCTCGGATCTTTTCCTCCTGTGTCTTGCGTCGGCCCTGTGTCTCGAAGTGTTCCAGCACGTCTTCCCGAGGCTCGTGCTGGGCCTTCCCATGGGCGTCTGCTTGAGCATTCTCTTGAACCCTCTTGTTTGACTCTACATGAGCTCCTTCCGGAGGGTGACCCTGAGGTCTTCTCTGAGGTCCTGACTGAGCTGCCTCTCGAGCTTTTGACTCGGCCTTTCTCGGAGCCATTTCCGCATCGCTTTGCGGAGCCTCGGCCTTCCCGCGAATTGCCTCCATGGGGGCATCAGCTTGGAGCATCTGACGTTTTGCAGGTGCATCGTGATCAACTTCTCCCGGCGGCCTGGGATGCTTAAGAGATCTTCGTTGTCGCTCGCCAGGACCAAGAGCCCCGACTTGTTTACCGACATTGGCTGGTGGTTTTGAAGAGTAAGCCTTGGCAATCTTGAAGAGTTTATGACGGATGGAAGTTCGGGGCTGGTGTACACGGCGCCGCTCACCCATTTTATATGTCATCAAGTCCCCGACACCAAATCCTTCTCCAACACCATTGATGGGTTCCCCCGGTGAGATTTTGTCCGCATGCTCGAGAGGAGTACGGGTTGCAATCCGCTCGCCTGCTAGCTGTAAGATAACTCGCTCGTCGACGTCAACGCTGCTGAGTGGCTCTGCATTCATGTGAAACAATTCGGCTTCAATTTGCAGTGCTTGGCTCAGGTTGTCTTGGTATAAGTCTTCGACTGATTCCAGAGTCGTCTTAACGGTCTCCTCAAAGGGAACTGGGCGCACAAAGTTGGAGAAAGTTCTCTCACATCCATCTGCAACAGTGATCTGCTCCTGAACAACCTGTTGCTGAATACCAGCACGGTATTCAGCTTCATGGACCCACCCCATCACCTGTGATTGACGTGGGTCCGCAGACATTGATACTAGAACGTCCGGAGGAAAAGGATTGATTTCAGGATCTGTTATTCCCATACGCCTCTTCCTGCGGTTCGTCTCGTCCGTCCAAAGCCCAGCCATGCTGTGCACCAGCTTCTCTTGACTTGAAACCGGCTGCTCCCTTTCGATGAAATTATGATGCAGCCTTCGCTCTTTGACTTTCTTCCGGTTCAGGATATCCTCGGCACAGATGTCTACTTCAAGGGAACCGTGACTAGCCCGAGGAAGGCTGTAGTCGTCTGTAATGAACTCCGAAGGAATCGTCGCATCGTCCCAACGATTTCCAGTTTCATGATCATTGATGTTTTCGTCGTGCTTCGGTACAGGTGCTCGAAAGGTGACCATTGCCGCATCCAGGTAGTCACAGCCGTACAAGTTGTAGTCAGCCATGAACTGGAGGAGATACTGTAAATGTGCCTCGTATGGTTGGAATTTCCGACTCATGATAACACCCTGTTGAAGGAGATCAACCAGACGTGACATGACCACCGGGTTGAATAGGTAGATTTTGAGATAGAAGCGATATCCCACATGGAAGCCATAAAACGGTATACCTTTCGTCAGCGTGATCCGTGCTACATACAAGGGCCGATCGTGAAGAGGATCTTTGCGGTAGCTGACAGCTAGGGCATGATCTATGGATGCACGGAATTTCGAAATGTATTCGTTGGCTAAGACATATGTCAGACGGTGGACACTTTGAGCGGAGAATGACAGTAGAGACGGGGGAACACTGACCCTTAATGACTTCCAGACTTCCGTCATACTCGACGTACAAATAGGGAAAGGCGCCGTGAATATGAGCGCACACTTTCTGGCCCGTTTCGGTCGATCCGAACACTCGAATGACAGGGAGTTTTGGGGGCTTCCGCGAATGCGAAAAGCGCACATCTTGGCCAAACTGAGGATCGTACTCGGTTCGTGTAGCCTGGTAATGGTCTATACAGTTCAATCGAACCCGAAAAACATCCATGATTCCGGCTGCTGGAGATGCCAGATGCTCATTGTAATGTTTCTGGAGCAATATGAAGTGATAATAAAAGGCTTTGAAGATCTCCGGCTGCCCGATGTGGCGACGTGCTTCCCTTAGAACACGCTTTTCCGGTTGTTTCGTTCAGGAGGGCATGCGCGTCATGAAGGTTGTCGAGCGCGCACGACTAGTGACGCCAGAACACGTGATGCGACGCTGACCCAAATTGGCGGGTTCTAGTCAAGGCCGTCAGCTATTGAGTAGTCGTCCTTATGACATCCATCCCGGGGGGTTCAATGAGGTGAACACCGACATTAGCTTTTGGGATGTGATGAGGGCTCTTTGACATTGGAACCGGAATCAAGGCGATGATGCGAACAGGATTCATTGAACTGACGGGGATCCCAAAGAGCGGGTTAGGGTTAAAGATGACAAACTGGTCTTGGACCAAAAGAGTAAAAGGTGCACTGACTTGCTGATCTCCATGGACGCCGCTTGCCTGCCGCAGAACTCTGACCCAACAACGACATTGAGCAAAACAACTTACCTTGAGTCTTGGGATCAACAACCTTTCTCATCGTCAACACCGACTCCTGGTCAACTTTCGACCTGTACATTTTTCCTTCAAAGCTGTCAGGCCACTTCATCAATAATCACGATAATTATGCCTCCCCCGCCACCGAACAGGCGTGAGCAGCAGCAGGCCATGGCTGCCCCAAGCTCAGCCGACAAATCGGAAACCGGTGCTGGCGCTGCCCGCAAGGAGGACAACATCTACATACCATCCTATATCAGCAAACAACCATTCTACGTCAGTGGCCTGGACAATGAAGAAGGGGACTCCCTTCTCCATCAGCGTGCCCGGCAACAGGAGGAAGATAAGGCTGCGCAAGCCGCCGCGCTTCTCGCCCGGGGCAAGAAGGCCGGTCCGGCGAGGACAAAATGGGTCAAGGGCGCGTGCGAGAACTGTGGCGCGATGGGCCACAAAAAGAAGGACTGTCTCGAGCGGCCACGCAAGTTCGGCGCCAAGGTGACTGGCAAGGACATCCAGGCCGATCGAATCGTGCGCGACGTGAATTTGGGGTACGAGGCCAAGCGAGACGTGTACAGCGCGTACGATCCCAAACAGTACATGGAGGTGGTGGAGGAATACAACATGATGGAAGAGGCTCGAAAGGCATTACAGGGAGGAGACAAGAAGTCGCCAGACGGGGAGGGAGGAGAGGGTGCCGAGGACGACAAGTCGGGCTTTAAGTACGACGAGGAGTCGGATATGGGACGCGATCGCGCTACGACAAAGCAATCCATGCGTATTCGCGAGGACACGGCGAAGTACCTACTTAACTTGGATTCAGACTCGGCCAAATACAACCCCAAGAAGCGCGCCCTTGTCGACGCCGGCGCTATAGCCGACAAGTCAGCCGCCTTGTTCGCTGAGGAGAGTTTCCTTCGTGCTTCTGGCGAAGCAGCGGAATTCGAAAAGGCCCAGCGTTATGCATGGGAGGCACAAGAGCGCTCGGGCGATACCAGCCTGCATTTACAAGCCAACCCGACTGCTGGTGAAATCCTACGCAAGAAGGAATCCGAGGAGCGCGAGGCCAAGCGGAGGAAGAGGGTCGAAGAGTTGGCGAGCCAATATGGCACAAACCCTGTCATTCCAGACGCACTTCGGGAAACGATTAAGGAGAACGAAGCCTTTGTGGAGTATGACGAGGCCGGCCTGATCAAGGGGGCACCGAAGAAGGTCGGCAAGTCCAAGTATCCCGAGGACGTCTACATCAACAATCACACATCGGTTTGGGGCAGTTGGTGGTCGGACTTAAGATGGGGCTACGCTTGCTGTCATCAGTTTGTGAAGAATAGTTACTGCACCGGGGAGGCAGGTATAGCAGCAAGCGAGAAGGCAGATGCTTGGGACAAGTAAAGAGCAGGTCTATATGCAGTAGTGTTTGATATTTAAAAAATGATACCCCAGTGCCGCACCTTGAGAATGCCCAACCGATCATGCCGTATGCAGCGCTCGAATAGGCCGATTTCCAAAACATAACAAGGCTATTAATTCAGAAAGGGACATGGAGCGATTGGTTCGGGGATATTCTGCTGCAAAGGCCAATCGTAATGGACACTAGATCGGACATACACCACATAGAAAGACGAGCCTGGCAATTTCGAGCTTTCAACAAGAAGATGGTGTATTTATTGAGACTGAAGGGTGCCTTCAGATCCGGAGGTTTCTTGACTTCCAGACACGTATTTCAGTGCCAACCGTTCATGCATTTTGATCCCTGACTACACGAACGCCGTGATCATGATGTAGAGGCAAAATGAACCTTCCAAGACCCGTTTTCCTAGCCGGTGCTATGCAGGTGAAACCCAACCCGCGAAGATAGACGCCTCAAATTTACTCCTCATCCTCCTCCTCGGCATCCTCACCGCCCTCAGCGGCCTTAGCCTTCTTTCTGCGGACACGGCCGGGGCGGCCGCCACCGAAGGGAGAGGTGAGGGCGAAGTCGATGTGCTTCTGGGAGTCGAGACGGACAACGAAAGAGGGAACGTTGACGATCTGCTTGCCGACGCGGATGTGGCGCTGGCGAATGAGGACACGGGCGTGGTGGATGGACTTGGCGAGGCCGAGCTTGTAGACGCAGGTCTGGAGACGACGCTCAAGGAAATCCTCGGCCTTGAGGGCAAGGACGTAATCGAGCTTCATGCGGGACTCGTCAAGGACACCGACGCGAACGAGACGGCGAATGAGGGCATTGCCTTCGAAGAGACGCTTGGGGTCCTTCTCGTCGAGGGTAAGAAGCTGACTGTAGCAGAAGTTAGCAATCTTGCGATTTCTTGGCTGATCATTCCACAGCGCCAATGACCCATTTCTGGGCTTATTTTGCTGAAGAACGGAGCGGGGTGTGGAAAGAACTTACCGGGCAGCACGACGGATCTTGGAGAGGGTCAGGAGAACGCGCCAGACCTCACGCTTGTTGCGAAGACCATACTCGCCAACGAGCTTCAACTCGGAGTCCCTGAGGTCCGAAAGTTAGTCGAATGATCACAATCGACGTAAGCAGAGTCTAGCTCGTGCTCAGTGGCCGGTGATTTGAGGCATGCGAGCGATCGCACGCGCAAAGAACATGGAGATGATTGCTCCCGCTGCAATTGCTGTCGCTTCGCAGAGGCCGTCTGGAAGGAGTTCGGAATCAAACTTAGACGCACAAACGAGCGGCCTCGAAGGGGCGACGGGGGACCTTAGCGGTCTTCGAGTAGGAAAGCGGCGCCATCTTGTTGTTGGGGGCTTTCTCAAAAGATCGTCGACTGACAGCGAAAAGTTTCGAAAAGTCGTTTTCACGAAGTAAGAAAATCAAAGGACCACCTGGAGGAGGGTTTGTGGTGGCCCGTGCACGCAGCCTTGCCGGCACAAATCCGCTTGCCCTAACGCTTGAAGGTTGGTGGTTGGCCCGAGCTTTGCCCACCTTGCTTAGTCATGCAACGGGAAATCGAGACCTAGTTTTGCTTGCACACAAATTCGTCGTCCAAATTTGACGCCCGCAGCAACCACCGTCTTCAGCATCCCCATACACGCCGAATCGTCACGATGGGTCACGCCGCAGGTCTCCGTGCTGGTACGAGATACGCCTTCTCGCGGAACTTCCGCGAGAAGGGTATGATCCGTCTCTCGACCTACCTTAAGCAGTACAAGTATGTTGCGACAGCGACGAATTGGGGTAGCTGGGACGTCATGGCTAACTTTTTGCTAGGGTTGGCGACATCGTCGATATCAAGGTCAACGGTGCTGTCCAGAAGGGGTAAGCGACGACCATTTCCACACTCTTGCGACTATTGCGATTGCGAAAAAACACCAGGATGCGGAATATGTTGGGGTTCTGAAACATCGGGATTTCGAAAGAGGGGGGTCACATCCGAATGCGATTCACGACGAAGACTACCGCGAAAATACTCGAGCGAATCATGAAACTGACGTTAGACATCGAATAGTATGGCCCACAAGGTCTACCACGGCAAGACTGGTGTCATCTACAACGTCACCAAGTCCGCTGTCGGCATCATCATCTACAAGAAGGTCAAGCACCGTTACCTCGAGAAGCGCATCAACGTCCGCATCGAGCACATCCAGCCTTCCCGCTCCCGCGAGGGTTTCCTTCGCCGCGTCAAGGAGAACGCCGAGCTCAAGAAGCAGGCCAAGGCTGAGGGCAAGCAGGTCCACCTCAAGCGCCAGCCCCTCCAGCCCCGTGAGGCTCGCACCATCTCCGTTGTCGACAACAAGCCCGAGACCGTTGCCCCCGTCGCCTACGAGACCACTATCTAAAGTACTCTTGGGATCGGAGTGGTGGTAGACTTGGCGTGTTTGGTTTCTCTTTGCATGGGGCTCATCGCGTTCGGCACGGAAAGATTTCCTGCATGGATTTTTTGGTCTGGGATGCGGGAATGCTTATAGGAATCAAAAATACCAGTGGCATGACCATGACCAAAACCAAAACCACACGAGAACTGGCTCGGTGCGCCTCCCCCTGATCAGGTGTACGTGCTTTTGAGCCTCGAGCCAACTTGTGATCGGATGGACTCCGCCAAAGACGAATCCCGCTGGCCAGGCGAGTTGGAGGGACAGACAATTCGAGCCCTGTCTGGCTGTGCGGTTTCTGCTTCTCGACCTAGCACCTCGCGGTTGATAGAGATACCCAAATAGAGCAATGTGACGAACCACTCCACCGGGCCAAATCTTGCGTTCAGCTTCGCACCACCAGTACTGTGAATTTTCTAGAGCGCTCAAAGTGTTTACTTGCAAACGGAAGAGACAGATATGCGAGCAGATCGAAATAGCGGGAGGTTCATGTTGGAGCTAAACTTGGAAGTCGGTAGGCAGAGGCGTCATCTGATGGAGTGGTTGTGAGCCAACTGAGTGTTTGAACCGGGATAGTTTGACACCCAAACCTGACCAGAACGGCTTTACACAATCCCCTCACAAAACAACTGAAATCAGCCTTGCTGAATTTACGGACTGTGTCTTTCGGATGTCCGTTGCCGGAGCCTATGTTCCTGTCCGGGATTGAGCGCTGCTCCCATAAGAATATTTATTCAGTCAGATTGTAAACCTCGGCAAGTATGGTCTGGGTAGATGAAGGTGGAGGATTGAAGCGGTCCTCCAGATACGATCGATGACAGATCTGTTGTGGGGTTGAGGTTCATGTGGAATGTCGAACAGGCTTGCTCTAGACTTTTGGAATCTCGTCCTTTGAGTGCCTGCCGCGAACCGTCAAGGATTTGCCTGGTCTCGTCCTGGTCCTCTGACGTTGACGAGGCGTCCGTTGCATGTGGCTCGGCAGGATAAGCAGATCTGGCCAATGGGATATTGCGGGGAACTGATAAGGCCTTCCTAAACATGTGGCTTAAACTACCCTTTTAGACCCGATGAAAGCACTGGTGCAGGGGCAGGCAGAGGATGAAGATGTCACCAGACAATACGTACCCCGTCCCAAACCAAAGCGTTGGCACCTTTGACACTTGTACAAACCAGACGGGGATGCTGTCACCAACAGGAACAGGAATAGGAACCGACCGTTTAATTCCTTGGCTCTGTTATATCTAGCTTCTAGTCAGTTTTCGGTTAGTTTTTGGGACTTTGTTGGCCTGCCACATTCCCGGGGCACGGTTTGGAGTTTCCATTCGGTGTCCTGTCTGTGCCGTGCCAGGGTAGGTAGTGAGTGTGGCCTTTTCAGAACTCAGCTGCAGGCCATCCGTCATCTTTGGTTCCTTCCACCTTCAAACCCACCGCGCCCACTTCCGCTTCCGTTTCCTGTTTGTCTGAGAGAGCGCGCAACGCAAACTTACAACTCATGACTTCGCCGTGCAACTGCGACTACGAGCCCTGAGTTCGAGTCCGCATCAATGCAACTGCAAATCTTCTGTTCTGATCTGCTGAGCAGGTACTTAGCCAACCTGAGGACAGTGGACACAACGGACGGCGAGCACCAGCGACCGCTGTCAGTCCTTCCTGTCTTGGCACATCTTGCATGACCGCATTCTGGACTCGATCACTGCAGTGCACAACCTTCCTCCAACGGCAACTCAAACAACCATGGGTTGGACCGTCTTCTTATTGATATACCTCTTCGGAGGCCTTACATTTCTACCATTGTTGGTGGTCTGCATTCTACTTCATGCTCACTTCTCGTTTCCTTACCGCCCAGATGCCGACCAGCACCACGACCCAGAAGCCGACGACTTGATCCAGCCTGGCGACGATCTTGATGCGCTGAAGGCGGAGCAGAAGAAAGATGGCAAACCACGGGTGGCCCATCACGACGATGGTGTCGCTTCCGGGTATTTTGCAGTCTGCCGCGAGTATACGCCTATGGGAATCAACGCGAAGCCCATCGAGCGGTCGACACCAGTCGGCTCCACCACCGTCGCCGCCCCTAGTCCCAGTGTCTACCAGACAATGTATCGAAGCATCTTCGACCGAAAGTCCAGCAGTCCGAGTCCCATTGACCACAAGAACGGTCCCAGCCAGCGCCCTAAGAAGGCTGGCAACGTCTTCTATGTTGTCCTGAGGTGCGTGACATTATCATTCTGGCTTCCGATATGGTTTGGATCCTGACGCTTGTTATAGACACGGCCATCTTATGCTCTTTGACGACGACGAACAACTCGAAGTACGGCACGTTGTCGCACTAGCGCACCATGAAGTCAGCATATACTCCGGCGAGGAAGTCACCCCAGAGGGTGAGCTGTACATCAAGCGTAACGCCATATGCCTCTCGCGCAAGACGGACGGGGTGGAAACAGGGCCGGATAGTCAGGTCTCGAAACCTTTCTACCTCTTTTCCGAGAACTGCTCTGCAAAGGAAGACTTCTACTTCGCCTTGCTACGAAATCAGGAACAGCAGGCCTTGGACACCGGAAACGAGGTTCCGTCTCCTATCCAATTTGAGGTTAAGAACATCATCAACTTGGTGCAGAGACTGCATTCGTCAGAAGAACATATGCAAACACGTTGGCTCAACGCAATGATTGGACGTATCTTCTTGGGCATCTACAAGACCAAGGACATAGAGAACGCGATACGGGAGAAGCTTACAAAGAAGATTTCTCGTGTTAAAAGACCGGCATTTCTTTCCAAAATTGCCATCAAAGGTATTGATACTGGAGAGTCGGCGCCATTCATCACAAATCCACGGCTGCGGGATCTGACCGTTGAGGGTGAATGCTGCATTGAGGCAGATGTACGATACACTGGCAACTTCCGCTTGGAGGTTGCGGCAACAGCCAGGATCGATCTAGGCGCGCGGTTCAAGGCACGAGAGGTCGATCTCGTCCTTGCTGTGGTTGTACGGAAACTCGAAGGTCATGTCTTATTCAAGATCAAGCCCCCACCCAGTAACCGCCTATGGTTCTCTTTCCAGCAGGCACCGAAGATGGAAATGACAATCGAACCAATTGTCAGCTCCAGACAGATCACCTACACCGTTATTCTCCGCCAGATCGAGAAGCAAATCAAGGAGGTCATGGCCGAGACCCTTGTCTTACCCTTCTGGGATGACATGCCTTTCTTCAATACAGAACACAAGAAATGGAGAGGTGGTATCTTTCATGATGATGTTGTTGTATCAACCATGGACTTGGAAACAGCTGCGGCGCAAGAAGGCGATCTGGACGAGGTGGAGCGATTGGAGGCTACCCACGACGGGCACGACCACGATGTGCCGCACGTCGAAAAGAGCCATAGCATGTCTAGCTTTGAGAAGACCTTGGACAAGAAACCGTCCATTAGCCTTTTTGGAAGGATGACAACCAAGGCCAAAGGGGATACTTATTCTGCATCTACGACCTCATTGAGCACAGACAACAAAAGCGAGTTCAAAACCGAGACGAAGAGTGAAACCCATATACCGCCTCCGATCCGGGTTGTTTCGATCACTCATCCTCCGACGCCAACGGTTAGCACAGATGCCATTAATGCCGACGTCTTCAAACCATCATCATCACCACCTGACGAAAGCGCTGCTGCATCAGCAATGGCAACGTTGTCTATCCAGGCACAATCCCCAACACGGCCACAGCCACCTCACTCGCCCCTGAGGCCGTCCGTCACATCCAAGTCATCAGGCCAGTCTTCCGGGTCATCTTCCTCTGAAGCTACAGATGCGGAGAAAGATTTGCAAGATTTTGATAAGAGGAACCAGGCAAGACGGAACACGGCCACATCCGCAGGCAGCCAAGAGGAAAGCAGGCCGAGGTCTCCAGCCTCGTCGATAAGGGGTTCTGTGAAGAGTCAAACTGGGACCATCAAGGGTATTTTTGCCCGGCGAGATACGGTGTCATCAACATCGGGAGCAGGGACGCCGAATCACCCAGACTCCGGGAAAAAGGCTGCCTTAGCCGCCGCTTTTGTTACCAACGCGGCTGCATCTGCCAAGCGCTGGGGGCTCAATGCGTTACAACGACACACAAACAACGATGGCCCACCGGGCAGGAGTGCTTCTTTCACGGATGATCATCCATCGGGGCTGGACTTGAATCAGCCTATGGGGCGAGGGCAGCCGCTTCCGCCTCCAGGAACACCACTCCCAATGCCAGACAGAAGGTCGAATGCAACATCTATCAGTATCCCAAGGCGCAAACCGATACCGCCTCCAGACCATTCACTGCAGCAACGTAAATCGAGCACACCTGAAGACCAAGATCACAAGCTCGAGCGCCGCCCTGTCCCACCTCCGCCTCTCCCAAAGCGTCGTCAATACCGTGCGGAGCAGCAGCTGGACGATGACGGCAATAACGTGAATATGCTTGTCGTCGCGGCTCCTGCGGAATCAGAACCGACTACACCGATGAGCGAGGCTCATGACACATCACCTTCGAAGCCTTCAGCGGACACTGTGGAAGCCAAGAGGCAAAGTGAAGTCGATAACTCTGCGCAAGAAGACATCGGTTCGAAAACGTATCCCAAGCATTCGGCACCGGCAATTCGTATTTCAAAAACTACAAGCCAGGAGGGGCACGAAAATGTGAAGACGTTATCGCCGGCGCTTTCAGCCGGCGTTGACGACGACGATGAGTTCTCGGCGTGGATGGATGATGCCGGCCCGGCTGAAGATATTGACACAACCCCTGCTCCTACAGCCAACGGTAGCGTTGACAAGAGGGCATCGCCTTGATTGTTGGACGAACCAACTGGTACCATGCATTGGGAGTTCACTGGAGTATGGGATTAATGCAGACTTTGTTGGCACAAATCACAGTACAGCGAAGGCTGGAAAATGGCCGGCCTGGTGGCTACAATGTATTTGTATTTTCGTTGTATGGTGCTAGAGAGTAACATCGGGGTGTGGTGCAAGGCGTTTGGGAAGTATCATAGGGTTTAGGGGTACAAATATCCATATCTCATTCGTATCTCATACTGTAACATGGTACCGCTTCCTTCGCCGGTGTGTTAGGTGAGCCTGCTTTCCATTTTAGGGCTTCGCCACGGCTTGGTTTCTTTTGTCTTGACTGTTGATGGCGGGTAATAAGCCGCATTTCCGTTAATGCTTGCTTGTCTATGATGTAGGCATATCGGACACTACAAAATCCAGAGCAAAGATATTCAGCCTCCTTTTAGCCTGAGTTCGGCACGAGGCGAACAGTCTCTACGGCCTTACTCGTACGCCTCCGCATTCTTGATATTAAAGATGCGACTTTTTCAGGGATTGATCATCTCTTCATATAGGACCTATATGACAAACCTTGTTTTTCAGACATGATGTAGGCGAAGACACATAAAGTGCACTTTCTGTGAAGAGCTTCACAATCTATATGGGCATGGAGGTAATCCAGATCTCCAGAAGACCATCAGGATCGCGGAGCCGTACCTTTCGATCATTTTGGGACATATTAGCAAGAATGTGGGCCTTTTCCTGGTTCCGGGGAGGATTCGAATTACATATGTCAACATTTGCCTGGCATCCTATACAATTTCTTCGATCTTGAGTGGTAACGAGGGAGGATAGATGTCAGAATGCAGATACGGAACACAGGAGGGATTCATATTGATCATCCGTAATCCCGGGAGGGATGTCCCCCTTGAGATCAGCTTGGGGTTTTGAAAAGAGAGTTTATGATCGTGGCTCAAATGGTATAAGTTCATATATCTAAACAGTGATTCCAACCCGGGTACTGGGAGAGAACGCAAGTAGATTTCACGGTGACTGTCAACTTTAAGAGCCTACTGAAACAAATCGTTGAACCAGACCTAGGTGAGCCAAGAGAGCACGACAGAGACATGATTGTGTATAAGGCCAGCTAACCCAACCCTCGATAAGAATCAACAGCGATGAAGCTCACCACCACCACCACCCTCTTCATGGGATTCCTGACCGGCCTTGTCGCCGCTCAAGGAGCGCCCGAAGTCACGCCCTGCCCTACCGTCACTCGTACGATGCAAAACCGCGGGTGCGGCAAGACATGCCAGTTCACCGACTGTGCCTTCGTCAGCACGGTCCGCAACCCATGCGGATGCCCGTCATCGATACCCACGGCGACTTTAATCGCCCCTTGCGAAGCCGACTGTCCATACGGCGGATGCAGCATCGAGTTCAAGACAAGTGCTTTAACATGCCCTGCAAACACCACCTCTTCAAGCACCTCCTCCCGCCGCTGGCCACCATGGCAAACCCGAACTTCAACTACCACAACCACCACCTCGCCGCCGCCCAGACCCACCAGCACAAAGACTATCGTGCGTAGCACAAGCACATCAACCACGCGTGCTACATCCACCTCTTACACGCAAACCACCATCAGCTGGAGTATCATCACGCTCCCACCAAAGCCCACCAAAACGTCGACAACGCCATGTCCCACGGTCACCAAGACGACCAGCCCGGCTGACTGCTCGCCAATTCGCTGTCCTGTGCCGACGTGCCAGGTCCGGTCGACGTTGAACGTGCCGTGCGGATGTACCGTCAAGACGCTGTTGTACGTTCAGGGGTGTACCACGACGTGTTCGGAGGGGTGCTTGACACGCACCGAGACGGCCAGCGCGACGGGGTGCTAGACTGCTAGGCGGTCTTTGGAGGGGGGGGCCGATGGTGGTCTAGGTGTTGGAGTTGGTTTGGTTCGGGTTCTTATCTTCTTGTCCTATACGTAGTTAGCTCTATCGATCAACGTCCTAATTGTATCATCGTCTTCTTTTAATTTCGACCCTTCGAGACTTTGTGGAATGTTGCATGGATGTCCGTTGTCAGATCTTTGTGATGTTTGGTGAACGGTAAATGGTAGAATTGGAGATGGAAATGCCAAGGCATGCGATGGGGCCCATTGTGTAGCGGGCACACGGCACTGGGGAAGCCCCGCTTTACCCCTAGATTTGGAGTCGTAGCTTTACCGATAGATGACTATCCCCAGTGACATCACGGAAGTTAGGTAAGGAAGTCAACTTGGCCCGTAGGCTGATAAATCCGTAGATAACCTCCTGAGATCTCGGGAGTTGGGATATTGAATGGGAGCGGGGCCGGGGATTCCAGTAACAAGGGGGAAGGCAGGTCAGCTGGCCGGCGCCGTATCGGGCACCGCCGCTGTCCACGCCCGCCCCGGCAGCCAACGGCACCTGCCAAGGAAGACGTCGAGGTGACAAAAGGAAGGAGAGTCGGAGTCACTAGCGTACCGAAGCTGAATGAGGTGTTCATATATATCCCGTACATGATACCTTACACACCTCTCTTGTTGTACCTCTTCTCATTTCCTTTGCTCACCGAATCCAACAGCTTGTCATTCATTTCGCTCCAAAAGTAAAGCATACACCCGCAGTTCTTTATACCACTAATATACCTTCCCGTGTTGTGTCGCAAGCACGTAGCAGCCGTCACCGTCGTTCGGTTTCATAAAGACAGTGACAACATAATACTACTCCTCTTCCCATAGTTCATCCCAACTACCAGACTACCCGCCTCTAGCTTCGTCTGTCACTTCACATCTCAAGATGACTACACGGTACCGTGTTGAATGTGTGTTCTACCGCCCTTGCCCATCGCTGAAATCACTGGCAGCTAACGGCTCTCTCTTGTAGATGCCCTCAAGACCCACAGGCGGGATCAATTTATAGGTACAGCTTGAGCCCTTTCGCCAGTCTAAGAATGTACCCACGGATTGTACAATGGCATTACTTCCAGCTAGCTGCTGAATTTTCCCATCGCACCCTCTGGCAGAGGCTATAGGCCAGGTCATCTTTGGCCATTTCACTCAATCAAGAACTGTGAAGTGTCTTTGTCGATCGACAAGAGCAAGGCAAAATTATGTACTCCGGCTAACACTCTTTACCAGAATGGACCAAGGCACTCCTAGCCGTCCCATTCGTCCTCTACTCCCAGCCTCATGGTGTTTTCGAAGATCCGGATAGCAGCGTCGATACGCTTTCTCAGACGAGAGAAGAAGCTCACAGGCGATACAGCGAGATCTTCCGGGATATCGAAGCCATGATCGATGACCATAGTAAGCAGAGCCGATACTCCCGGCCTCACTCGGTCGACCCCTTTTGATACAGGAACGTTTAACATCTAATCAACCATCATCAGTTGCCCACCAAAACAATGCCGAAAATCCATTCCCATCCAAGCTCAAGCTCCTGGTTCCCGGTATCGGACCCTTCTTCACGCGGTTGCCGCTCGAAGCGGCCTTCAAGTTTCAGGACAACAAGCGCCATATCTCATCACGCCGCTTTGTGTCGCCGTCTTTCAACGACATCCGCTTGATCCTCAACTCGGCCCAGATAATGGCGGTGACGACTTACGGAACTCTTCAGCTCGCTACTTTTGATGGTGACGTGACACTTTACGACGATGGCCAGAGCTTGGAACCAACCAGTCCTGTGATTCCTCGACTACTAGGTTAGTGCAATGACTCTCACCTTTTGTTTCCCTATCTGTGAACAGACGTACTGACATTCTTCCCCTTTCCCATCCAGACCTTCTCCGCAAAAACGTCAAAATTGGCATCGTCACCGCAGCAGGCTACACCACCGCCGACCGCTACTACGCACGCCTGCACGGACTATTGGACGCCATGGCCAACAGCGCCGACCTGACCCCTTCGCAAAAGCAGTCTCTGGTCGTCATGGGTGGCGAAGCCAATTATCTCTTCGAGTTCGACTCGTCCTCGCCTGACCTCCTGACGCTCGTCCCGCGTTCGCGCTGGCTAACCCCCGAGATGGACAAATGGGAGGATAAGGACATCACCGACCTCCTGGACGTAGCAGAGTCCACCCTGGGCGACTGCATCAAGACGCTCAACCTGCCCGCCACGCTTATGCGCAAAGACCGCGCCGTCGGCATCATCCCTGTTTCACCGGAGATTCGCATCCCGCGCGAGAGCCTGGAGGAGACGGTTTTGCTTGTTCAGAAGGCCCTCGAGCTCAGTCCCGTGGGCCGGAGCAGGAGAGTGCCATTTTGTGCCTTCAATGGTGGAAGGGACGTGTTTGTTGACATTGGCGACAAGAGCTGGGGTGTTACGGTTTGTCAAAGGTGGTTCTCGCAGAAGGAACCCTCGGGTCCTCAAGGGATCATCAAGGCTGAGAATACCCTGCATGTGGGCGACCAGTTCCTTAGTGCGGGCGCGAACGATTTCAGGGCAAGAAGCGTGGGTACGACAGCGTGGATTGCGAGTCCCGCGGAGACGGTGGAGTTGCTGGATGAGTTGGCGGAGTTGATGGGGAAGAAGATGTCTTGATTGAGAGGGCAAGTTGGTATCATGGTTACAGCGGCGGCGGCGGCGGTGGGCGGTAGTGATGATATGATGATAATGGGAGCAACGACACCTTGGGGAATGCGATTTAGGAGTGGCGATCGATGGAGCAAAGCCCATGGATGGGAGGTTTCAAACAACAGCGAGATTCTTAACACGGACATATGGGTATTTGTGGCTTCGGAGAGCCATCTCTAGCGGATGGGAGATATCACTGAGAAACGAATAGTATCATCGGGATAGCGTTTTTGCTAATATTATCTGACAAACACACATCCAGATTCTGGTTGATGAGACGATGGTCTGTGAAATCATATTACCCATGACGCTTAACTCTTATCAGCTTGCAGGTGTTCCTCGTCAGGTTCCTTAAAGTAGCCAGCCTGTGATCTTCCGGGGTACGATCCTCGGGGGAGACGGAGGAAATCCCCAGCCAGTAGTGATTCAGGCTTCGACAAGTGATGACGACAGATATGTCAATAAGTGCTGACCCTCTTAGCTACTGTGTCCACAACATACACTACACTACACCTTCGCCGCAGGCAGATAGACCTAGCAAGAAGGCCGACGTGTTTTAACAACAGCGATCTCATCGTCTTTATCCAGCCAGTCCAGCAAGGACACCACGGCTTTCTTTCTTGTCCGTCCAGGCTTCTAGAGTCTAGCGGGGCACTGTTCTCACATCACAGGTCAATTACGTGAACGGTATTATGTACACTCCGAGACTGCTCCTCACTACAAGTACGTCCCTATCTTGCCAGCTGCCGCCGCTACCGACAGTCAGTCAGTCAGTCAGTCAATCTCGCTTACAGGCTTCTATAGAGTACAGAGAGGTACCTTGAAGACGGGGAGGTTGCGGTCCGATCAGATCAGCTTGCCACCACTCCACCAGCCTCTTCCAACTCTTTCCAATCGGCCCGAGCCGAGAGAAGGCGGACCCAGCCAGGACCCAGTCGAGCCAGTGTCGCAAAGAAGCTTCTATTGGACGTTCTCGGTCCCACTTCGATGTTTCTTTCTCTCTTCTGCAGTCTGCTCCTCTTTTTGCTTCTCCTGAGAGAGAGCTTTTCCGTTCCAGGAAGTCCAGGATTTCCTCACATGCGGCGGTGACGAGCCACTTTGGTTGTGGGCTGTCCAAGTTCTGCTTCGCTTTTTGATGCTTGATGATGATGATAGAATTGTTCATTACTAATTCAAGTTGCTGCTATCTATCTGTGGATGGGCGCGGTAGGCATGGCGGTGCTTCCTCGCTGAGTATAAAGTAAAGCCACCATAAATGCCACCGACCGCCAATAACTGTGTCGCTTCATGTCCCAAAGGGGTACCGTATGCTGCTGGTATCAATCTTCCCATTTATGTATGCTCCCCTATTACCATTCTATAATGCCACCCCCGAATCGACAGAAGCCTTCTTTATAGTGTTGTAGCGTTTCAGTCTCCCTCGCATTAATGCCGAAAATAAGGTTGTCGCTGCTAGTCTATCATTGTTTCTTCTGTTCCTCATGTGCATCATGTTGCATGTGTGTGTGCGTGTGTGTGTATCCAAGAGTGAGATAGTAAAGAATCAAATAAACTCGATCGGTTCGTCAAACGACGTAAAAGGGGGTATAATGATATGGGGAAGTCCCAGTGTAGACACCTCAAACGCCGTGTAAACAAAAAGGACCAAAAACAAAACAGAAAATCACACAGATTACCCAACGGTACTGTGTGTAAGTAGATACAGGAAGAAATGTTGCCAAGTGGCAGGCTTGTGTTCAACGTTGGCCCTCAGAACTTGAACTCGCCAAAGGGAGCGCCAAAGTTGTTGTTGCGCCTCAGCTTGAGAGGGATATCCATTTCCGCTTCATCCCCGCTCTTAGAGCCGCTGCCGGTTTCTTTCCCTTTGCTCGAATCGCCAGACTGGTTCTCCGCATTCAATGGCCCCGGCTCGCCGTCATCAACAACGGCATCCTTCAGAACAGAAGGAAGGGCTGCCATGGTGTCCTTGCTGACCTCTTCGAGCTTATCGGAAAGCCTACGGAAGAAGATCTCGTCGTGGGCAGGCATGTTCCTAACCATCAATGGACCTCTGAGAGGACGATCCTCCGCGGGCTCATAAGCCGCAGGAGGATCTTCAGAAATCCCTGACTCCTGTTCAGCCAGCTGATTGGTGCCTTCTTGCTCGCTTATTACTCCAAGCGCTTGGCTAGTCATATCGTCGCCGTGCTGCAAAGTGGGCGTGTTGCTACCACTGCTGTTGATGGTACCGACCCCAGAAGACGTTGCGGTCGCAAGGACGGAGAGAGAGTGGCTCGGGGTATGACCAGCATGCATGGTGAGACGAACCGACGCTTCTGCCTTGAGGACTTGCTTGGTTTGCTCCTTTGTCGGGCTTTCTGACCTGGCTTCAGGCACGTCAGGTTCGGGCATGTTAGACGCCGGGGGTGGTGACGGAGTCTTGGTTGGGGACTTGAGCGCTTCCACTGCGGAGCCGTCGGTGAATGTCGATTTTTGAACCGAGTTGGCCTTGATGGGAATTCCCTCGAGCTCTGGGTGGATTGCCTGGACATCGACGACAGGCGCGGGACTGGTAGGACGCAACTCGGGAGACTGGGCCATAGAGTCGGCTACTACGGGACCCTGAGGACCGGGTATCGTGCTGACAGAAGTAGTCTGAAAGGGCTGTTCCGGTTGCTGAGCTGGCATTTGTTGCGTGCTTCCTTGAGAAGACCGTGAGCTTCTCATGCTCTCGGGTGAAACCTCACCCCAGCGGACGTTGCCGATCATTCCATTATTAGAGACATGAGCAGCCGCCAGGGCCGCCAGGTTCGCGTTGCTGGATTGTCCTCCCAGATGAGCTACCTGTTGCCGGAGCTGTTCAATCTGCTGTAACAGTATAGCCTTTTCAGCTTCCCATTCCGCCCTTTCTTCCTCCATGAGGGCCCGTTCCTCCTTGTACACTTCTTCAGCGCGCTCCCTGTTGGCTTCCAAGTACTTGCGCTCGGCTTCCCAAGCTTCTCTTATCCGGCCATTTTGTTGGACCAGCCGCCGGACCATCTGTGCATTTGAGGGTGCGTTCAGAGCGTCCGCCGAAGCCGAGCGGGCCTGTCCGGCAGAGACAGAGCTGATAGCCGGCACCGAAACCCCGGAGAAGGCATCGCCAGGGGAAGCACTCATGCCATCCATCGATGTCGTTAGTGGCGGGGAGAGAATCGAGAACTGGGCTTTTGTGGCCTGGCCTGTCTTGGATCGTCGCAGGTTAGGAGGGACGCTGGTAGATCGTTGTTGTTCGAACTGATACTGGAGTCCTTGTTGGATGGGCGTTAGGTTGGGCGACATGAACTGTGGCATGTGACTGGCGACAGGGCCACGGAAGTTGGGAGACAGTGGTGAATAAACGTGGCGTCCGGGAACGGAAAGCTTGGAAGGCGCCTGCAGAGTGGGATTGCTCGTCACTGAGGCAAGATCGAAGTAGCCGGCGGCACCTCGGGGCAACGCCAGGGGAGAGATGAGCGAGGACGAGGAATCGCCTAGACTGGGAAGAGGAAAGCGCATGCTGGTGTCGATAGAACCCGAAGGCAGGAACGAGTCGGCGCCCATCCTGGTCATGGCAGAGGACGACATGGTGGAAGAAGATGAACTGGGTTGTTGAAGGGGTTCGAGTGAGGAGAGAGAGCGAAGAAGAGGTTGCCAAGTAGGTATCACTGGCGCCCAAAGTCGGTGTGGTTCGTGGTCTTAGTGGGTTGATGTCATCCGTCATGCCACACCAAGAAGTCCACCGCAGATTTTTCGAACTTTTTTCTTTATACCCTGGCCCTGGCCAATGTATATACGGTTGTAAAGTTGAGGGTCTAGCTGTAAAATAAAACCCTGACTCCGTTTGTCGTCGTAAGATAAGGGTTGTTGACTGAAAGTTGCACGATGGGTGAGCTGTGGTATATCCTAGTGGATTGTCTTTGCCGGTGCTGCTTGCAGATAATGTTCGTAGAAATGTTGGGATGAAAGGCTGGTGGGCAAGTGACGACAAGGGAACGGGTCCTTGGAGGGTTTTGATGTTCTGCAGGCCCGAATGATCTTGTAGCGGAAAGTCTGAGGGACTTTGAAGAAGAGCGGATCCGATGTCACGAGTTCCACTTTGGTAGGCGCGGTGCTGCTGGGTTGCGGTGTAAGATGGATGGCAGCGAGACGGTTGCTGTCGATGGGATGGCAGTCTGCGAGAACGCTTTGTCTTGGACACGTAGGTGGTACTGGCTCGTATGAGGTTTTCCGACTGAAGATGGAGAAGGTAAGTCGGAAACAGGAGAAACAGGAAACAATGAGACAGAAAGTGAGAGGGAGAAAGACCGAGACTTTGATGGAGAGGGTGAGCTGGTGGTGGTATATTGGTGCCAGCTGGACGGGCGGGAGCAATGAGCATCCCTTGGCACCTGAACTGTGAATCCACGGTGTGCCTCTGCGTACTGTGCCCTGTGTTCGACTGCGAGTGCGCTATGGGCGCGTAGCATTGTGGCAGGCTGGCAGCAGCCGTCGGGCTGGGAGACGAGATCACCGACAGACACTTGGGCCCTTCGTTTTCCACGCTTCCACTCATGTTCGCTGTGACGCAACCACGAACCCGCAAAATGGCGGGCACGGCGGGGCCCATAAGCAGCAGCCAGACGGGGCGACCAATCAGGGGCTTTGTAACTGGCTCAAGTGGGCGTGCAAGTGTGGCATCTGCGGCCCGCATTTTCCCCCTTTTAGTCGACCATGAGCTTGCTTTTGTACATTCCGCTGCGACACCCTCCATTCGTCCTTACTCATTCCGTCGCCCGTGATGCCAGAGTGCTGCTTTTTGGGCCATCCTGTCACCTAAAAGCTTCCCCTTCAACTTGTCCGTCTTTTCTTTGTCGATCGTGCCTGGTAGCAATGGCTGGGACGGGGCTTGGATGACACAGCATCATCGGTTGCTAGCAGACGGTACCTCGCACAAGGCCCCAACCCCAAAGGGGGATGGGCTTCCACATGTAAATGTTTGACCGTCGCCCTTTTGGTCCTTTTTGCCGTCACTTCCCCCACGATTGGCAAGTCGGGCCTCAAAAGCCATGATCCCTAGCCGGTTCTAGCTTGGGGGCCCGGTCCGTCGAAAAAAGTCGGAGATTTTGGGGTTGCTGACCGCTGGTGCGAGCCTCAGCAAGGCCAGTGGATGCGAGTCTCCTGGGCCGACTTCTTTTTTTCTGCATGTCATGTGCCCATGTGGCTCGAATTACCAGGCTGGGGATGGGGCCTGCTCCTGCCTCCTGTTCCGAATCTTTCCCGGCCCGCAGGATTCAAACAACCGAGCAGAAGGACGCTTCAACACTGGACGCCGGCATGGACAGCGACAGATTGAAACACCGAAACAAAAACGGGGCCGTGCCTTTTTTTGGACGGCTTTGGTGATGAAGGGGTCCAAGTGGCTCCAGGCCATGGCATCGCCGATATTAAACTTGAGATGTGTCGGCTGCATCATCTCCCTACTGGCCCTATTGCGACAGGTACATGCTGCGGCAGTGGCAGAAAACATGTGTCAACATGTGTAAACATGTGTTCTCCCATTACCAATTTGTCCCTTTCATCCAAAACCCGTACCTGCTTCGCTCGCATGGAACCTGGCATAGGATTGCATGGATGAGTTGGCAATCAGGGCCAGTAACCGAGGGCTCGGCACTGGTCTGCACTGATTCGCGACAGATGTCGGCGAGCCAACAACAACTGCTATCGACAAGTGAACAGTCATCTTTTGGCTGTTGGAGAGGACGGGATAATTGACGGGCCAGTGGAAGCGGAGGTCGCTCCGGGGCTCTGGTTCGGTGGTGGACAGCGGTCTCACGACGTGCCCCGTGCCCTGGCAGCCGGTCTGTACGCGGCCTTCAGCTTGCAGATGAAGGTGAATCTTGGTAATCTCTCCTTGGTCCGTCACCTACATATCTCACTGCTGCACCGTCTCAAATCATGTCTGTAGCACTCGCAGTCCAACGCCACGAGCAAGCAAGCAGCAAGTCATCCAAACGAAGTACAAAGCCACAGGTTCACACAGCTCAGCATCCCCCCACCAGCTCCTGTCAAGTGCTTGCAAACCCATATTCGCTGCCACGGTTAACTCACCGCCTGATGTTCGGTTCTTGGCCAACACCCAACGAGTGAGTTTGACTCATCAACGGTTCGATCGTGGCAGCATCCTCTCTTCTCTGGCAACGCGGGCTCCCCTTCTCACAAGCTGGAACTTGGAAAAACAAACAAAGAGGTCTGTGTGAGTTCAAACTCGCGCGAATCGAGTGTCGGCCTACTGTACCCGGTGTCCTGAGCGTTCTTCTCCAGCTGCCCAGCAGACAGCATCCCAGTTCCGCAGTCGCCAAAGTCTAGGCCCCACGAATCCCGCTCATGGCTCAACCGCTCCCGTCCTCGTGTGAACTCATCCGGTGCCCGTTTACTGGCAAAATGGCGCTCAAGCCGCTTCTCCCTCTTTCGCCAAGTATCAAACGCGGGGAACGGGCCGCATGCCGAACGAGCAGAAAAGAACTCCAAATAATCATCCCCATGACCCCTTGGCTTTCCTTACTCATTCTGGACGAGAACATGCCGAACGGCTGACCTGATTGGCTCGTTTGAAGGGCCCTATTATGGAACCAATGGAACTGTGTGTAACCCACGCCGCGCACATGGCATGTCCCTTTCCACTGTCCGTCAGCTCGTGCTACAAAATTATGACCCAAGGACAGCCCCGAAAGCCTCGCTCGCACGTTGGGAACGGGGAAGCCCCCAATTCCAGATGTTGCGTCGAAAGGAGCACATGATTGATTTCCCCAAACACCTTCCCCAGAAATGGCAATCCGTCTCTCCACTGCGACGTTGCGCTAGAACACTATCGAGAAGGAACCGAGAAAAGGGCCTTTTGCCGTGTCGCCATCCTGGAACCGAACCGTCTTTCCACGGACCTCGACTTTTCCCGCCCAGTGTGGGGACCCCGGATTTTTCATTCGGCAGTGGGATAAAGTCAAGGTATCTTAGAAATGGAACAAACGTACCTCTGGACTAATGTTGTGATCTTCCAGGACAATTTAGACACAGTCTTCATTCCATTCTCGACCGCTAGGTTCCTTTCGCCGGCCATATCCGATTCAGCACACATATACCGCTGGCTTTCCCCCGACGTCAAGCACCCTGAGAATCCGTCGCGTAAGGAGAATGATGGTCGGCCGGGGCTTGCGGGGAATCATCTCCGGTTCCCTTTACCCCGAATTCACCTTGCCGTCTTCCCAGGGTTTGATAGTCATTCGAGGGTCCAGGACCCTGACAATCCCGACTGCCCCGAGGTCCCAGGTGGCTTCCCTCAATGTCCATGATTTTCACGGGGGTTGGGGTTCATCAACATGCGGTTCAACCCCCCCTTTCCAGAATGCAAGCGTCCACACTGGACGGCAGTCGCAAAACGCTATTTGCCTGTTCAATATGCATTTCCTGCACGCTCAGCGGCCCGACGCCTATTCCGCGCGGGTTGAGTATGGCAGTTGTCATTTCTGGATGTCATAGGATGCAGTAAAAGTATCGCTTCTCATATCCCGTACACACATCTCCCACGCGTACGGGATGGGGAACTATGCATAAAGCTGAACATATTTGCCTCTCTTTGGGCGTTCGCCGGGTACGGAAACCACACACACACGCTCAAGTGGGCATATGTATGTGTCATTAGCCTTGCTTCTTGCTTGCGCATTCCTCTAGTCACCCCCGTTTAACTCGTCTATAAGCCGTAGGGACAAGTTTCCCCGTTATAACCTAAAACAAAGAACTCCAATGCCGTGTGTACCCTCTGTCCAGGTACGGGTATCTAAGCGTTGCGTTGCCTTTGGGGTATCTTTGCCTGCCAGCCAGCCGTGTGCCCAAACCGAAAACCGTGTGCCATCCCTAAATTGCCAACTCGTGGAAAAGGAAAACGAAAAGGAGAAGGGGAAGTGAAAGGGAATAAAACAGACAAGAAATAAAAACAGACAAGAAATAAAGAGAAAAGAAAAAAAAAAAAAAAAAAAACCTCCTGTGACCCTAAAAACGCCGGCATGCTTTCCCCGTATTGGCATGATTGCGTTCCCATTGGCGCGCCGCCATTATATCTCGCTGCTGTGCCTGCAGCCCCCGCGAGCCCCTTAATCTCCTTTGGGGCTTGCTCAGTCGAATTGTGACAGAAAACGTTTGTCATAGGGCAGTTGGTCTAAGACATTGGCAGAAGCTTTCTCATGAAGGCGGTCATTGATGGCGATTGCTCGCTGGGTTGTCTGCAGTTGCCGCACACGGTTTGTGGTCTGTGTTGTTGTTGTTGTTGTTGAAACTCAACGTTAGCCCAATGTTCATCGGTACCTATAGATGTCTCACCAACTCTTCAGACTGATGAAAGAAGCAAGATCCCAGCGGCGACGGTGAGGAGTCAGAAAGAGCAGAGCAGAACAACAAAAAGAGTCTTCCATACCTCTCCTCGAAATCCATGATGGTTGGTTGGCACTTCTTCCGCCTCTCTTTGTAATCGGCGCAATGTTTAGAGGCGAGCCACCTGATGTGACCGCAGGAATATTCCCTCTGTGCGGGACACTACTATCAGTGTATGCTCACAT